GTCGCGTCCTCCGGTAGCACCACCTCCTCCCACAGCCCGGCAGCGTCCAGGTTGGCCTCGACCTTGATCGCCCACGTGATGTAGTTGTCACCAGTGAGCATCAGGACCGGCGCCGGCAACGAGCTCCCCGTCCTGTCGCCGTACGGCATGATCGACATTGCCGGCGATCGCCTCCCGCAACGTGGCTCTGATGCCAATTGTTGGCGCAGCCGGACGCCAAAACCCTAAACCCGAGCTTGCCCTAGCTGCTCTCTCTCTCTCTCTGTGTGTGTGTGTGTGTGTGTGACCTTGATTTAGCCCAAGCCAGAAGGAGGAGGAAGAAGACACGGGGCACAAAGAGAACACAGCGAGGTTTGCCGGCGCACGAACGCCACCGCCGTCACAAATGGCGTTTTCTGTTTTTCCCTGAGCACGGAATCAACCCGCACCTGTTACAACGTCTAGGGGGGTCTTATACCCTGGGCCACGTCTGGGCGCGCACCCCACGTCCCCGCACACGCCGAGCGCCTGGTCTGGCCCGCTCTGCCCGCACCCAATATGCACGCACACGTCCTGGTCGCGGCGAGCCCGCCCTGGGCCAACTCCACGCACCCCCTATTCTCGCCAACAGAGCGCACACACACGCACGTCTACGGTGTACTTCTGCACAGGCAACCCCGTGCACCACACACACGCACACACACGCCGTGGACCCAACACGCCCAGTTCGCGCCCATACACGCGTTGGACGCGTCCGACACGGCGCAACGGCTTATTTGCCCAACACGGGTACATGGAGTCATGCAAATGGCGCGCAAGACTGGGCTCAAGGTGCAGGCCGTCATGTCCTTCCACCAGTGCGGCGGCAACGTTGGCGACTCCGTCAAGTACGTCCCCCGCCATCTAATTACATCCATGTCATTGCCTCCCTTTTTTCTGTCCTTCCGTCGGCCAACTGGATCATATGCCGATTGCGTCCCGTGCAGCATCCCGCTGCCCAGGTGGGTAACGAAGGAGATGGACAAGGACCAGGACCTCGCCTACACCGACCAATGGGGACGCCGTAACTACGAGTACGTCTCGCTCGGCTGCGACGCCATGCCCGTCCTCAAGGGCCGCACCCCCGTCCAATGCTACAGCGACTTCATGCGCGCCTTCCGTGACCATTTTGCTGACTTCCTCTGCAACACTATCGCCGTACGTCGCACATCCCTAGCCGCGCGCCTTCTCATAAACTAACTTGGCCTCTGTGTTTGATTGTTGCGGTAGCTAGTTGATTTGCCTTGCATGCGTGCTGGAAATCCAAGTCGGCCTGGGCCCGCCGGCGAGCTGCGTTTTCCTTCTTACCCGGAGAGCAACGGTACCGGGAGGTTCCCCGGCATCGGCGCTTCGAATGCTACGACAGGGTACTTACTGCATGCACAAGTCCAGAATATTTTAAGATGATTGACTGCATGTATATTTCTCAAATTATCAAAGATAAAGTTAAAAAATGATTCATTGTATATATATTTTTTTGTCATCTCTAAATTACATGCAAGATCAAAACTTAAGACTATCTTATCAACTATTGTACGTGCCCTTAGCAGCCTGATGGCAGCAGCCGAGGCGGCGGGCAAGCCGGAGTGCGGTTTCACCGGGCCAACGGACGCCGGTGACTACCTCAGCTGGCCGGAGGACACGCTCTTCTTCCGTCAGGATGGCGGCGGCTGGGACAGCCAGTACGGTCACTTCTTCATGTCCTGGTACCCGCAGATGCTCCAGGACCACGGCGACCGCGTGCTGTCGGGCGCGACGTCCGTGTTCGCCAGCACGCCGGGCGTACACCTCTCCGCCAAGGTGGCCGGCATCCACTGGCACTACGGCACCAGATCCCAAGCGCCGGAGTTCACCGCGGGGGTACTACAACACCAGGCACCACGACGGGTACCAGCCCATCGCGCGCATGCTGGCCCGCCACGGCGCGGTGCTCAACTTCACCTGCGTGGAGATGCGCGACCACGAGCAGCCCCAGGACGCGCAGTGCATGCCCGAGGGCCTCGTGCGACAGGTCGCCGCGGCCTCCCGCGGCGCCGGCATCGGCCTGGCCGGCGAGAACGCGCTGCCCCGGTACGAGGATACGGCGCACGACCAGGTGGTGGGCACCGCCGTGGAGCGCGCCGAGGAGGACCGGATGGTGGCCTTCACGTACCTCCGCATGGGCCCCGACCTGTTCCAGCCCGACAACTGGCGGATGTCCAAGTCCGGGTCGTGCAGGGAGGCCGCCGAGCGGGCGGCGCACGGCGTCGCCCACGCCACGGGCTCGCTCGTGCACGAGGCCGCCGCCGCGCTACGGTGCTGATGGCAGATGAAAGCCGTACGTTGTGTAGTTTGTGGGAGGTTTCGGCTTGTTCGTTTTGCCAGGAGGGGGCGAACGCTCGGAGAACCAGAGCATTCTCCCATTGTTCGTAGAAAAGATTGTGATTGAGCCGGAGGGAGGGGAGGGCATAGTTGTCACGTTTCACGCCCTGAAGCTGGTGCTTGATGCATTGGACGACTCGGGGTTGTTCGGGAATATATCGATTGCCATTTCCAGCCAAAACTTTGCACAGTTTTTTTTTTGTAGGGAAAACTTTGCAGAGTTTGTTTGCGTTCTTGCCCTCTGAATCTCTGATTCTTTGGTTTTTCTTCTCCTACCTGCGTTTGCTTCTTTACGGCGTGTCTAGTTGTCTGCAACTTTGTTAAATAAGTTCTCAAATTTAAAAATGTTCACAAACTTTAAAATGATTGTTAACTTCAAAAGTATCCATGAATGTAATAAATATTAATGAATCTGAAAACATTGTGAATTTTATTTATTCATTGCTTTTCAATGTTCACAAATTAAATAACGCTCATGATTTAAAATGTTTAAAAATAAATAAAAAAGAGAACAAGAAATAAAACTAAACAGGAACAAAACACAACCTTGCAGGCCCTCAGCGACCCCACAACCCCGAAGCATTAGAACGCTTCAAACTATAGATAAATTCTTTATCATGTGACGGTGGCCAATTTGAATCCAAGTGTGTTTTTAAGACCAACTTCACCATAAGCATTACTTGTGATACGTGCTCTTACAGCCAACTTTGTTATTGCCTCCTCGCCGAAGGTTTCCACGAAGAGAAGGGGATGGTCTTGCCCCTCAACGGGGTGTGTGAAACTTAACGTTGATGCTTCTTTTGACCATAACTTACTTAGGGGTATGCTGGGGGCGGCCTTAAGGGACGATAAAGGAAGGTTCGTCGCTGGGGAAAATGGTAAGATTGACTGGTGTGCGGATGTACTGATGGTTGAAGCTCTGGCCCTAAAATTTGGCATATTACTGGCGCAGAGGACAGGATGCAACCGTATTATTATAAACTCGGATAATACAGAGGTGATCGACATCATGGAGGAAGGAGGACGATCTTCGGGAGCAGCAGCGGCTATTTTTTATGATTGTTTCCATTTAGCTTGTGATTTTCTAATTTCTAAATTTGAGCATTGTAACAGAGAAGCAAATAAAGCCGTTCATGAACTGGCCAAAATGGCTAAATTTTCTTTCATTTCTGAATGGTTTAAAGAGCAAATAGTGATATTGTACCAATTCCGATAAACGATGTAAGGGTTATCTCTAATGAATAAAACGTGTCTTTCTTTCCAAAAAAAAGCATTAATACCCAAGGGCGTCCCCTACTTGTAGGCCCTATTCTTTTGTAAAGAATTTTTCATCCATTTGAGCACGAACAATAACCTATTTAAAGGGAAATAATCGGCAACTACTAAATGGTAGATATAGCATCTCAAACAATTTAACGATAATGTTTTGCATGGCAAACAATTCAACAAGTCACACAATTTAAACAAAGTTAGTAAATGAATGAATCAATTGTCATGGCACGCATTGGTGTCGGAAGGCATCCATTTCAATCCATGTCAGCCGACATGATTCTAGACTCCTTGGTGATCCTTCGAACCATGCAGGAGAGCAGCATGTGATCATTATAGTACAAGGTTCCGACCGACTTGAAATAAGAAAACAACAACAAAACAGCTAGAACACAAAAAAAAAACTAAATAGATAGTGATTCAAGGCATTTGGCACCAGCCTTGAACCAGTCTAAAGTTGTGCGTTTGATAAGATAAGCAAGCGGTCAACCGAAGAATACTTGAGTTGACCCTCCACTTTCCTCACCCTCCATCTACCCTGAATTGATTATTGAGAGCTCGAGTCATCTTTTTTCCTTTATGCAAGATTGGGGTTCTTTGAGCGATACAACTTGATCATTCCATCTACTTGTTCCGTTCAACTTCATCCAACAATGAGTCCTTGCGCTCTTTGTTCTACTATAAATAATTTCACCGCCAAGCTCAACTAGCAAATGAATTACTTGTCAACATAAAGGAAGTGCAAAACATCTCATGGTGAAGTTCCAACAAGCGGACAAGTGTGAAACGAGGGACAAATGGGTATGTTCAAATTGTCCAGACAAACACCCTAATAGCAACAAATTCGTCTGCCACAGCGGTGTACTGTTATAGAGCAGCGACAAGCCAACTCAAGAACTTTGACTGCTCTCAGTTGCCAATCCACATCAAACAATGAGAATCATCATGGAACAAGCAAGCGGAGAAGCAATCCCCCAAGCTATGGCGTGCAAACAAGATGTAGATCAAGCAAGTACGTAATATACAAAATGCACTGAGAAGTAATTGAATCGATTGGGTCAAAGTTCAAAAGACAAACAGCAAGCTGCAGCAGCTCTGCAGTACCAAGGCTGTAGAGGCAAAGAGAACCTTCGGAGGTAAGCAATGTAACTACATAGTTCAAAAGAGCACATCATCATTCTTAAGGAAATAGCACAGTATAGCATTTCTGCAAAACTCATGATAGCAACCTACACCGAAAATCTTCTTGACATGAATAAAGACCCAACCCAGACTACTGCTCAGAGAGCAAATCCAACCCATAAGAGCACCATAGATTTGAACTGGTTGTGCAGGCAGATAACCCAAACACCCTAGTAACCACCCTTGAGATCATTGACCACATCGTACGGAATGGGAGTGACGGTCTCGATTGTGGTACCCTCAACCATGAACCCAGGTTTAGGGCCGAGCGGCTGCCTCTTGGTGCTGATGACCTCACCACGTGCCTTGGCTTCCTCCTTGAGCTGGTCATTCTTCACTTTCCTCAGGCGGAACTCCTCCGCACACCTGGATGGCTGCACATGCTCAACACGGACATGGATCCTTTTCCTGATAATGCGGTTTCCAACCTGGACAATGTAAACAGGATTGTGATTGTAAATATATTAGTCCTGAACTTGAGTCTACATGAAATTTTACGATAAAATAGTATGTTCCACTAGAGCACAATACAGCCATATAACCTGAGGTGTAGTTCAAAGAAAACAAAGGGCAAAACATACATATCTTAACACTAACAACAGAATGGATCTTATCTACTTCAGAAAAGAGATAACATGCTAGTATACAGGGCCACAGCAGAATGGATTACTATGATCTTTGTTGGGCAGAAATCCTAGGGGACTGTTTGCTCAGCAAAGCAGTAATCTTCAATATGCCATAATTGTAAATGCACTCAACACTTTATCAGTCTCTAATCACACAACAATCAATAGACGAAACTAATAGAATTGTAAAGCTGGGACAGTCCAAATTTAGTATTCCATGCAATGGAAGCAGCTAAAACCATTTGAGGGAACATGTGTGTACAACAAACACTGAACAACTTCAGCTTCAACCCTCCTCGCCTTAGCTACCATTTGTTCCCATACTGATGACAAAACAACATCTTGGATTACTACAACCATAATGAATCTTCAGAGCATATAAAACATGATAACGTTGGATGACTGCAGCCGCACAAGCATTAACCCACACTATCGCCATTAAATCCTCTGTATGCGACACCTACCAAGCAGGCAGATCTAAGAATGTCAAGCCTTCCAACAAGAGGCTGTAAAAGCCCATTACAGCTACTAAATAAACAGAATCGCAATTGCAAACAACAATCAGTTGAACAAATCCTACAAATGGGAGCCTGCCACGACGGCGGCATCACTGTGAAGCAAGTACCTCAGGGACGCAGATCGACAGAATCTGTGCCAGCACAGCCGCGAGGGAAGAAAACGGGATCGATATATACCTGCTTGTTGATCTCGACGCCGATGGCGCGCTTGGTGACGTTCCACACGCGTCCGGTGCGGCCGTGGTAGAACTTGTGCGGCATACCCTTGTGCACGGCGCCGTTCACCTTGACATCGACGTACTCGCCGACCTTGTAGGTGCGCAGGTAGGTGGTGAGCGGGATGTAACCCTTCTTCCGGAACGGGCGCGCGAACAGGTCGCGCGTCCGCGACCGCAGACCGTGGCCCGCCGGCATCCTGCTCCTCCTGCTTTGCTTCGCGGGGCGGCGGCGGGAGAAGGGTGGTTGGTGTGGGGGGACTAGGGTTTGCGAGGGTTTGGAGATGGTTCTATTTTATAGCTCTGTGGTGGGGGGTCCGAGTGGTGTTGGGCTGAACTTTTTATGACGGAGTTTCGGCCCATTGCAGATGTAGGAGGATGAGACTTTGGTGGAATTGATACCCCTAAATAAATGGTGGAATTAATACTTCTCAAAAAAAATGGTGGAACTGATTATTCTCAAAAAAATGGTGGAATTGATTTTTCAACTCCCCGCAAAATAAAATTAGTGCTCTAGTGTATAAGCTTATTTCCGGCGATGCGCATTCAGTGGGAGGAGACGTTCCCGTCGACGACGAGGTGCCTACGGCGACTTCGTAAATTTCAAGATGATATGTCGGCTCAGTCCTTCGGAGATGCTCATAGAGGTAGGGTATGCGTGTGTGCATTCATATGGGTGGGTGTATGCGCGTGTATATGAGCGCTTGCGTCTGTACGGTGTTCAATAAAAAACACGTGCACTTAAAATCATGGTGAACATAGATCGAATTAAGGTAAAGAAAAGCTTGAGCGGCTGGAAAACATTTTTTGGGTTTCCATATGACAATCCTACGTTATTACTAGTAACTAGTAGAATGCACATGCGTTGCCACGAGCAGTTTAAATTTTTTACTAGTTGCATATATAAACATAATGATCATGTTCTGCTGAAAAGAATATCTGAGGTTTATGGATATATAAGATATTCCACATTAGAATTAAGGTCAAAATTTCTCAACACATCAAACTATGGGTAAGTGCGTGAGTAAATGAACCTGAGTGAGTGGAATAAGGAAGGATCAAATAAATGGACAGATGAATCGTGCACATATCGTTCATGAGTTCTTCTCAAGTTGAAAATGAAACCCAGTAATACACACTGCATTGCCCTACGGTAACCCATGGGCCTTCTTTCCCGCTAGTGTTGAGGAACCGCATTTGGCCATTTCTTTCGCCACCGGCCTCAACATCACCCTTGACATCTCTCCGCAAGCTCTGAAACCATGTCCACCATGTTTCACTTCATCTTACATTACTACTCAGGTAACATAAGTAGTAATGTTCAACCATGCATATCGGTAAAATACAACCAATATTTACACGACAAAAATTGTTTTGCTGAGCAACTTATATGCTTTCCTTTTCGAAACCAATTAATTAATCTGCCATGTTGATCGACGCCTTTGCTCCATACACAAATTATAGTCATTCTGTTCTCAAAAGGAGAACTGCACAGATAAAAGTGATATATAATTCAGTCGGCTACAACGCGATGAACCATCCTCAGATGTACATGTGAAAGATAATGGTGCAAAACAGAAGCATGACTGAAACATGTTGGTGCTTCTACTAACTTTGATTGGTGCTTAACGATGGGCAAATTCCGACGAGGCGGGCTGTTGAACGTGACATATTTGTACATATCTCCCAATTGTTCTCTCTCTTATCTCTAGTCATGCATATTTTAACTTCTAGAGATTTGGTAGGGATAGTTGGTTTGTCACGCAAGACATCTCATGTATATATTGTAAATGACTTAGATGAATACAATTGAGTTGCATCTAATATCCTTTCTACATGGTATCAGTTTCCTTCGCGATCTCATCGCTTCTGCCCTAGGTCGCCACCATGCCTCCTAAGCCACCACCACCGCCTCCATCTCTACCCTTGGATGTCGTCTCTTCCTTCCCAAGCCATTGTTGCCCCTTCTCTTCCACCCCTAGTCGCAGCCGCCGTCGCTTTTGTCCCGTCATAAGCCACCGCCGCCCTACCCACCCCTCTCATCATCATAGTTGTATCACGCTCCTTCCTCTCTGATGAGAGTTCCTTTGCCGCGCCCACCTTCTCCTCCTCCCATCTCAAGGACCTACCCATCGAGGATCATGTCGCGGTGTCCTTGACCTCGACTCTCCCTCCTGCAACGCATGGCTTACCTACTCCGCACTTCTATCCCGCTCTTACTGAAGGAAATATGCCCTAGAGGCAATAATAAAGTTGTTATTTTATATTCCCTTATATCATGATAAATGTTTATTATTCATACTAGAATTGTATTAACCGGAAACTTGATACATGTGTGGATACATAGACAAAACACGGTGTCCCTAGTAAGCCTCTACTAGACTAGCTCGTTAATCAAAGATGGTTAAGTTTCCTAACCATAGACATGTGTTGTCATTTGGTGAACGGGATCACATCATTAGGAGAATGATGTGACGGACAAGACCCATCCATTAGCTTAGCATATTGATCGTTCAGTTTTATTGCTATTGCTTTCTTCATGTCAAATACATATTCCTTTGACTATGAGATTATGCAACTCCCGGATACCGGAGGAATACCTTGTGTGCTATCAAACATCACAACGTAACTGGGTGATTATAAAGATGCTCTACAGGTATCTCCGAAGGTGTTTGTTGGGTTGGCATAGATCGAGATTAGGATTTGTCACTCCGAGTATCGGAGAGGTATCTCTGGGCCCTCTCGATAATGCACATCATAATAAGCCTTGCAAGTAATGTGACTAATGAATTAGTTGCGGGATGATGTATTACAGAACGAGTAAAGAGACTTGCCGGTAACGAGATTGAGCTAGGTATGAAGATAGCGACGATCGAATCTCAGGCAAGTAACATACCGATGACAAAGGGAATAACGTATTTGTCATTATGGTACGACCGATAAAGATCTTCATAGAATATGTGGGAACCAATATGAGCATCCAGGTTCCGCCGTTGGTTATTGGCCGGAGAGGTGTCTCGGTCATGTCTACATAGTTCTCGAACCCATAGGGTCTGCACGCTTAACGTTCGATGATGATTTTGTATTATATGAGTTATGTGATTTGGTGACCGAATGTTGTTCGGAGTCCCGGATGAGAACATAGACATGGAGAGGAGTCTCAAAATGGTCGAGAGGTAAAGATTCATGTATTGGACGATAATATTCAGACACCGGAAGTGTTCCGAGGGTACCGGGTACATATCGGGTCACCGGAAGGGGTTCCGGGCATCCCCCCGGCAACTACATGGGCCTAATAGGCCAAGAAGGGGACAGACCAGCCCCTATGGGGGCTGGTGTGCCCCATGTAGGCCAAATTGGGAGGGGAAGGAAAGAGGAGAAGGGGAAAGGAAGGGGAGGGATTCGGCCTCCCCCTTCCTTCCCTCCTCCCTCCTCCTTCCTTCCCCCTCCAGTGGATATGGAAAGCGGGGAGGCCGAATTGGGGTGGCCCCAAGTAGGATTCCTCCTACTTGGGGCACCCCGTTGGCTGCCTCTCTTCCCCTCCAACCTATATATATGAGGGGGGCACCGCTGGAACACACATCAATAGTTGTTAGCCATGTGCGGTGCCCCCCCCTCCACAGTTTACACCTCCGGTCATATTCACGTAGTGCTTAGGCAAAGCCATGCGTGGATCACGTCACCATCACCGTCACCACGTCGTCGTGCTGACGAAACTCTCCCTCGACACTTTACTGGATCAAGAGTTCGAGGGACGTCATCGAGCTGAACGTGTACAGGACTCGGAGGTGCCATACATTCGGTGCTTGATCGGTCGGAACGAGAAGAAGTTCGACTACATCAATTGCGTTGTCAAACGCTTCCGCTTTCGATCTACGAGGCTACATGGACACATTCTCCCCCTCTCGTTGCTATGCATCTCCTAGATAGATCTTGCGTGAGCGTAGGAATTTTTTGAAATTGCATGCTATGTTCCCCAACAGTGGCATCTAAGCCAGGTCTATGCGTAGATGATATGCACGAGTAGAACACAAAGAGTTGTGGGCAGTGTCAGTGTCAAAACCGGCCGATCTCAGGTAGGGGGTACCGAACTATGCATCTGAGGATCGAAGGTAACAAGGGACAGGGGGAACACGATGTTTACCCAGGTTTGGGCCCTCTTAATGGAGGTAAAACCCTACGTCCTGCTTGATTGTATTTGATAAGTGTAGGGGTTACAAGAGTTGATCTACCTTGAGATCGTAATGGCTAAACCCTAGCAGTCTAGCCTATATGAATTCCGATAGCCTCTATGGACTAAACCCTCCGGTTTATATACAGACCGGAGGGGCCTAGGGTTGTACAGAGTCGGTTCACGGAGGAAGGAAATTACATATCCGGACACCAACCTTACCATCCACGCAAAGGAGAGTGCTACCCGGACACGGGAGAAGGCCTCCTGCCTTATATCTTCACAGCCCAACAGTCCGGCCCATGTCACATAGCCCGGACACCCGAGGACCCCCTAATCACTCCCTCAGTAGCCCCTGAACCAGTCTTCAATGACGATATGTTCGGCATGCGGATTGTCTTCGGCATTGCAAGGCGGGTTCCTCCTCCTGAGTACTTCAAAGCAATCTTCTAAATAAAAGAACTGTATCCGACTCTGTTTAATTGCGGCAACCCTTGGTCATGAAGGTAAGATACCAAATAAAATAGTATCTTTTCACTGACAACTTTTTTTGGCGAAAATTCACGTTTGGCCTCTTAACATTTCGAACCATTTTGACACCTCCCGCTTCGTGTTTCGAGGCACAACCTCTATTGGCACGTCTTGTCAAAACAGAGATCGTGCCCGCCCATTATGGGATCCTCATCAATACGGTTTTGGGTAATCCAACCGTGCCATTTGCACGACCCCTCGGGAATAGGCGAGTTTCAAGGCTTGAGGGGAGGCGTTTGATATTCACAGCCTATATAAGAGGATAAAGATTCCCTTATTTTCCCCACGCCTTCTTCCTTCTCCTGTTTTCCCATCTTCGAGCTCCAGCGCCCAAACTTCAATCTTTCCCACCGCCACCAGCCTTTCCAGCCATGTCTAGATCCGGTTCAAAGGGCAAGTGGGAGGCCTCTTCCGTCACCAAGAAGGATGTCAAGGAACTCCGAGGGGCGGGGTATTTGTCTGCAGACATCGCGCACAGGCTCCCTGCCAAGGACCAA